GTTCTGTAAACAATAATTTTTAATTTCGCAAGGGCGGCGCCACGGGAGGGTGCGATTTTTCTCTATATACGGTTTATAAAATAAGTCGATTTTGGTGTGACACCGTTATCCGATAGCCATGAGACTTTGGGGGAGTTGATTAGAACAATTCAGGGAAGGGTTCTGTAAAAAAAAAACCTTTATTAATTTCGCAAGGGCGGCGCCACGGGCGGCTGCGATTTTTCTCTATATACGGTTTATAAAATTTCGTTGTTTTTTTTTTTCGTTTTCACACCGTTCATCCGTGTACCATGAAACTTTGGGGAGATGATTAGATCACTCAATGATAGGGTTCTGTAAAAAATATTGTTTAATATTGCAAGGGCGGCGCACCACCGGGGGGGGGGGGGGGGGGGAGGGGAGCGGGGGGGGGGGGAGGGGAGCGATTTTTTTCTCTATATACGGTATATAAAAAATAAAACTCGGATGCGGTTCATCCGAGTACGATGAAACTTTAGGAAGTAGATGAGAATACTCCCGAGAATATTTCTGCGAAAACGAAAACTAAAGTTTCTTACGGGCGGCGCCATATAGGGTACAACTTTCGTCAATACACGGTTTGGCGCCCAGAGTTTTAGAGCGACTAAGTTGGCACTTGGCATCCGTTAATCGAGCGTCCTGTATAGCGAGTAAGGGGTACTACTATATTCAGCGGTAAAACTACAACAGGCTTCTAAAATAACTTTGTAACGCGAGGAAATCCTGTACAGTTTCGTCACCTTGCGAAAGATGAAAAAATAACTGTTTGAATATGATGAACCTACTGTAGAGTTTCGTCACTTTGCGAATGATGCAATAAGCATCTATTTTTAGACGATACAGGCCGAAATTGAGACCGAGCATCTAATAATAGACCATTAGTAACGCTAGCATATTGCATCAGTCGAACTGATGTTTAAAACACGTCAAATAATTTGTGTATGTGTTAAAGAAAAAAATCCTGTTCATTTGTGTCACTTTAGCGAATGACGAAATCGGCATCATTGTTTACAGGATGCTATTTGGCACGCTGGGTTATCCTATGAGCACGATGGCGCCTGTTAGTTTTAAGGAGCCAGGGGCCTTACGCTGCGCCTCTGCGGTAGTGTAATCGGGGGGTGGGGGGGGGGTGGGGGGCTCCTGAGAGCGCCCCTCTACGTCCCTGACATATGGGTGGTCACTGAAGTGTGTTCTACCTAATTATTTCGGTGAGTGATTAATATACACTCAAGATTTTCATGCGGTAGTGTAGGAAAACCCGTGTCCCGATAATTATTATCCAAGCGCAGGCAATGTTGACATTTAAATAACACAGTTTTAGAAAACAAGGTGATGCGTCTAAGAACATATGATTGGTAATGCATTGGTGATATCCTTCTAATATATTTCGTCAGACTTTATTCTATCCCCGCGGCAACGCGCGGGGGACGGGTACGCTAGTATATATATATATATATATATATATATATATATATATATATATATATATATATATATATATATATATATATATATATATATATATATATATATATATATATATATATATATATATATATATATATATATATATATATATATACTAACTGCATCCCGTGCTCCGCCACGGTAAATCTTTTTTAAATGTACCAACTTGGGAAAAGAACAAAACTAAACACAACACAAACGAAAAAAAAAACAACGAAAAAACAAACACAACACTCATAACATTAACACAATTTAAATGCAATCATAAAGGCACATTGCTCACAGTCTAGCCCGTAGCGCCAAATCGCGCCCTTTCCGGTGATTTGCAACCCCCTCAAACTTTCGATTTGCACCCCTTCCACCCACCCGCCCTAAAACTTTCGATTTCCACCCCCCCCTCGCAAATTTTTTCCAACCCACTTTGGCGCCCCTTAAGGTCGGCACCCGGGGACATATGCCCCCCCCCCCCCCTCGCTACGCCTCTCCTATAAAACCCGAAAGATAGAATAATAATTAGAAAACAGTATAAATAATAGGCCGTATTTAAAATACCGTGTTTTACCTACACTATTTCACTTTATCCATTCACGCATTTTTTTTCCAGTACTTTAAATTTTAAAAATTTACAAAAGAGTTTCATAACTAAAACCATTGCGCACCTAATGAACGTGATGACGCGTCTATAATAGTGCTGAATAGTTGATTAAAAATTATAAGCAATAAAACGTAGGGCCTACATTCAGTGAATAAAATAAATAAAAGATTGCCTTTTATCAATCCATGCTATTTATAATTTTCTAACAATAATTTCCTCTTACACATCCGAATAATTTGCATTCACATTTTGCTAATTATATTATTGCAACACTAATTCCTTCTATGACGACCGTATATTTGCATTCACATTTTTTATTAGCGTGAGTTTAATGTATTTTTAAATTACCTCTTTTGTCAAAATTAGAAAAAAAGAGTTAAATTAATTTGATTTTTCTACCGTACTGTTATTATCTTATTA